TTGCTACGTGGAGATCTAAAGTCCCTGAGCTGCAACTTTCTGTGGCTTCAGATGGAATGAGGATATTTGAGGATATCATTAATTATATCTCTGAATGTGTTTGACATTTAAAGGATTGCCTTAAGCTTTGTTTGCTTGACTCGTTAAGTATCTATTGTGCCGTTGTTGGGTCACTTTCAGACACTTAGATTTTTAAGCATTAGTGTTGTCGTTGATCCTGTTCTGCTGATATGTGCAAGCGTCTGTCCACACTGCTAATCGATTGTCTCCACGTGTCCAAGTGTGCACAAAGTAAAGATAGCGCCTTCCTTTGGCCTGTTTCTCATAGTACACCAGTTTAGGATATCTCAGAATAACAGCCAGCTAAAGATTTGTAGGGTTTCCTTCTCTTACATATGTTGAATCAATATGTGGTATTGTTTATTCTCATGTTTTCTTTTTAATATTAATCAACAGAACTCCAACAAAAAGATATGAGCTAATTCATTAATTAGGTTATCTGTTTAAATGTTGAGTCCAACAGAGCTTTGCCTTAATGACAGTGGCTGGGTGTTGTTACATTAGTTTCCAAAGCATGAGTATCTCTTTTAAAAACCAGAATTATTTCCAAATGGCTATTTTAGGATAAATGTTTAGTAACATTTTGTCAAACAACTGGGCAGCATGTAGAAACAGGTGGGGGAGGGGTGGGCGCTCTGTTACTAAGCTCCATACACTTGGCGATAACTCTGGTCAGCAGTTTAGCTATTTTAACGGCCTTAATTTTAAAAAGCTTGGTGTACATTAATCCCTCCAACATTCTCCTGCACACCATGAACAAGTGAGTGATTTGTTCTTTTGTACGATTATGTTAAAAATTAATCAGTTATCAGAGTTTTAATCATACCACAAATGTTTTTACATTACCAGTCAAAAGTTTGGACACATCTTGTCATTAAATAGTTTGGCTTCATTTGTATTATTTCTTATGGAAAGGTTTAAGGCACTGGTGGAAAGCCATTTCAGGAGACAGCTGCTTAGAACTCACGTGTTATCAGCAGAATTTGAAACAAATAGGGGCATTTTTAAAGAATCTAACATATAACAGATAGAGTGGTACAGTAGAGAACTAATAAAAAGTAAAGATATTTAAGGTGTGTTCAATACCTTTCACCAATTAATACTTTATTACTTCCTTTTAGGAGTAATAAAGCATCTTTGAATGAGCTGAAACTTTTCAGTGGTAGTCTATAAACAGGAAATGTGTATTTTCATCTGTTACCAATCTACATTTTTAAAATTATTTACCTTAAAGCCCATAAAATCTCCCCGTCCTCTCATAAAAAAATCAGTCTTCAGTAACATTGTTAATATGCAGAGAATCAGGTGCTTCTATCAATCATACACATGAGGTAATGGTCAATCTCCTTAGCAATAACTAGAACACTAACTTCCTTCACATTTAAGTTCACAACCTTTGACCAGGTGAACTCTGAGACTGGGCTCTGATTATGTTTAACCTGACCAGTTCCACCTCCAAGATGAGGATCAGAGCTGAGAAATCACACTCAGTTGATCATAACTTTCCATGAGAGTCATCATCTGTAAATCTTTATATCCTCTGGATAAAAGGCTGTGATTTGCGTTCACTGGGGTTAATTATCTACTCGGTTCTGGCCTTGGGTTTCCTCCTTGGCTCTTTCACTCACAAGGACAATTTGATATAACGGATACCAAGTGGGATATTTTTCTCTTAATTTCCCTTTTTATTTTACATTATGCCTGGATGTCTTTACTTGTTTTAAAATAGTAAATATACAAACTGCTCCTAAAAGAATTTATTACCACAGTAATACGAATGTATTCTATATAATATACTTATCAGTATTTGGATTTGTTAGCTGTGATTTAAAGAAATCTTGCATGAATAAAGCTGCACCATGAGTTAGTTTTTGAGTTTTAAAATTTGATTAGATAGCCAGTTCTTGCAATGATTCATTTGTGTCTAAGATTTAGTTTCCTTACTATGACTATCTGTCCTCTCAAAAACTAGAAATGTGTGCAAACAACTTTTATCTAAATCTGACTTCTCACTATTATTATATTTTCCACTCAATCGCGATAATTAGGAAGCTTTGAGATAAGCTTAAACAGGAAGCACTACATTTCTACCAACAAAACAGTTGTACAGAAAAAAACAACTGATTAGTGTGTTCCACAGATGCCCAGCTTTTCAGTGTCACATACGTTTGTTTTCTTGTTGAGCAGAACTCCCTTTGTGATGAAATAGAGAGAAAAGTGTGGAAAAGACGGTTGTGTCGTGTTAGCAACTCACATCTTGTAAAGTGTACTGGGGTGGCAGATGAATAGTGACTGTTAAAGAGAAAATTACTGAGATATTGATATGTAGCAAGCTTTTTGAAAGGCGCTATTTTGAGTCAGCCTTGAAAGTTATTTGTGAGAAAGTAACTTTGTCGCAGCCTTCTGTTCCAAAAAAAAAATCAAAATTTCCAACAAAGGCCGTGGGTGGTAATAGGTGGTTTTTGCATCTGTACACACTTTAGACTTGATTTCTTTATTGCAAAAGCAGAGACAAAATAATTACTAAAAAATGTCTTGCAACATAGTCGAAATGAAAAATCGTGTCAATTTAATGTTTGAAGGTCTAAAAAAGTGGTAAAAAATAATTTACAAAATCTCCCGTCCATGCCAGACTTTTACCAAACAACTGACCCCCACCCAGCACCCAGTGTGTTCTTAATCAGTCAAATTACTGGGAGGATCTACTAATTAACAATGTAATCTAAACTACTTCAAATATAAAAACATAATCACAAATTTGGGTTCTAAATTAACTTAAATATATTAAAACTACCCAGGAAAGAAAACTAAATTACAAAAAACTACAAAAAAATTGCATAAATGGCCACAACAAACTTTATACACATATTTGCACCATATCTTTCCTTTTTCAATAATCTTGAATAAAATTAAAAGGGTTTATGCTAGCAACAGTTGAAGTTTTTGCTTCACATGGGGTTTACAGATGGTAGATTTTTAATTCAAACTAATGTTTTGTAAACTGATTCCTCCTGGGAGTTACTCTGCAGTAACTCTAAGCCCTCCTGCCTTGGAGGAACGGCCAAATGAACAGGTGGATGAGTAGAAGAGCTGGATGTTGGGTCAGGTCAAATGAGTGAGCATGTTACCATGGCTCCTTGGCTTTGAGTTTTTACCACTGTTGATAGATTCACTCGTCTCCATCAAAGTCAAGGGCATTTCACCTGCCTGACTGAGAAACTCAACTCTTTTAACGCTCTCCTAGTACTCCTGCAGTAACTATCACACAGGAGTTTGGATGCTTTGATTGGCTGTTTCAGATATGTGTGCTGCAAGGAGATTTGGGGATTTAACAAGCTGTGGATTTTTCCGTTCTCAATGCTGGCAGTGTTGGAAAATAAGAAAGTAAGAGGTTTACGCTTGGGAAGCCGATTTCTGATTGTTCTCAGTTGCTCTTTTAGGGCTGTGCCTCTTAATGAAAGGACACACACAGAGAAATACACACAGTGAAACTGCACCCACATGTGTGCCGCATTCATATTGATAAGAGGGTTAAAAGTCCAGCAGCATCATGTAGTGTTTTCTTGTGTGCAACAAGTTAATATGTAATATTAGAGTTTTGTGGAACCGTATGGCGTTGCATTTCATCCATAATACCTTTCTTTACTGTAGCCTTTCCAGTTATTTCTAATACAGGCACATATGTGTCCCACACACACCCAAACCCATCCACACACCGAGCATGTGACCAAGTCATACTCGGTGAACCTTGAACTGCTGTTTTCATGGTTTACAGCCCTTCGTTCTCTCTGATAGGGGTCATAGGTCATCAGAGGGACTCAACAAAACAAGGCTGTAAAACCACTGATAGGGGAAGGAGCCCTTAGGATTTATAGGTGCTGTGTTTTTACTCGTGCTCAAGTCACATAACGTGTCTCCGCCTCTTTGATGACTGTTCATACACATCAATAGGTAATTGTTTTCTGAAACTCATAGTGTCATTGCGCAAAGGGCGATATATTCCAACCGTCTACAGTAGGTTGTTTTATTTGTATAAAGCAAATGAATTGAAAGTTGAGTGGAAGGAAAAAAGAAATTGGCAAGCAAAGAAACAAAAGGGACCAACATTAGCACAGCCTTTGGTTTTTGGTTTAACGGGTGAAGAGCTTTAAAGGGGGTCATAGAATGCACAACCGAGTTTACATCATCATAGATGAATAACGATAGTTTAGTGGGGGTTGCACTGTAGTCGACCAAAATCCTGGACGACTTTGAAGTTCCCCTCGGACATTTTTTTAGGTATGAGAAGTAGGACATGTCCAGGAAAAAGGACGTCTTGTCACCCTACCATATCAACAATTTGATGTTTCAGTGAGTGAGTGCTTGTTTCTATGATGGGTCTTTGTTCAGCAGCTTTGCTTGTTGTAAACCAACAAATCAGCTCACATCTAAATATTCATGAGCATACCATAAAAAGAAGAAAAGCTGTCATTTCATTCTAGGGCTTTTAACCAGGCTTGCATTAGGGCTAAGTGCGCCAATTTCAGCCCAACCAATGTTACACACCCTATTTAGAGACTTTAAGGATCAGCAGAAATACCAGATATAATAATTCTATGACCCATTTAAGAGCATAACACAGATGTTTTCAGGACATGTACTACAGCTGTTCAATGTCTTGTATTTAGAAATATTTGATCCAGAAGTATCAGGCACATGCTAGCTGGGCTAAGGAGAAAGGGATCGAAATGTTGCTCAGTACCCCAAAAACTTAGTTATTCAAGTTAGTGATGGTTTGTGGAGCCATACTATCTGCTAGTGATCATTCACAAATTCTGCAAAATAAATGTATTAATATGCATCTGTATTCTTGTTCTTGTTTTGCCTCGTCTCTTTTTCCTATTTGCTTTCACCCCACTTTAAATAAAATCTAAATGCTTGTTCTTTCTATCTGTCTCCAGGCCAAAAATCTGATTGGATGGTTTTCTCAGAATGACAGCGGAAGATCCCATTTCCTCATCAAACATGAGCAACAACTCTGCCCCCTCCAAACCCTCCAAACCGTCTGGTGCCTCTCACCATGCACTCCAAGGACAGATCACACTCCCAGAGGGAGTTGCAGGAGCTCCCAATGAGGCCGCTCTGCTGTCTTTGATGGAACGCACTGGCTACAGCATGGTCCAAGAAAACGGTCAGCGCAAATACGGGCCCCCTCCAGGTTGGAGTGGTCCGTCTCCTCCTCGAGGATGTGAAATCTTTGTTGGCAAAATCCCACGAGATGTTTATGAGGACGAATTGGTTCCAGTATTTGAGTCCGTGGGCCGCATCTATGAGATGCGTTTGATGATGGACTTTGATGGGAAAAACAGAGGGTACGCATTTGTTATGTACACAGAAAAACATGAAGCCAAGAGGGCAGTGCGGGAGCTCAATAACTATGAAGTGCGGCCTGGCCGGCTGCTGGGGGTCTGCTCCTCAGTGGACAACTGCCGTCTCTTCATTGGTGGGATTCCCAAAACAAAGAAGCGTGAAGAGATCCTAGAGGAAGTCTCCAAAGTAACAGAGGGTGTATTAGACGTGATAGTTTATGCCAGTGCTGCTGACAAGATGAAGAACCGTGGCTTTGCCTTTGTTGAGTATGAATCACATCGAGCAGCCGCCATGGCTCGCAGGAAGTTGATGCCAGGAAGAATTCAGCTGTGGGGCCACCAGATCGCAGTAGACTGGGCTGAGCCAGAGATTGATGTAGATGAAGATGTGATGGAGACAGTAAAGATACTCTACGTTAGGAATCTAATGATGGAGACCAGTGAGGAGGCAATCAGAAAGGTAGGCAATACATTTTTTGTCATAAGTAATCTTTCTTTAGGGGGATGGGGAGTCAATGACAAAAAATCACCCTTTCTTTCTTTAATTTACTAGATTTTCAGCCAGTGGAACCCTGGATGTGTGGAACGTGTAAAGAAAATCCGTGACTATGCTTTTGTCCACTTTACATCCCGAGATGATGCTGTTCTGGCCATGGACCACCTCAATGGCACAGAGATTGAAGGGTCCTGCATCGAAGTGACGCTTGCCAAGCCAGTAGATAAAGAGCAGTACTCGCGTCAGAAAGCCTCTAAAGGAGGCGCGTCTGCCACACCAGAGGCTACCCAGCAAAACTACGTCTACCAGTGTGACCCCTACACGCTGGCTTACTACGGTTACCCTTACAGCACCCTAATTGGACCGAACAGGGAATACTTTGTTAAAGGTTGGTTATTTTCAATGCTTTTTTAAATGTTCAAAACAACTAAAATTGTTATTAATTAATCATTGATCACTATTTTGAAAAACGTTTGGCTAATTGTTTGTTGCTCAAAATCTGAGACCTTTTGTTCAAGGCAAAAACAAAACAAGTTGATGGACCAATTAATGCTAATCCCATTACCTGAAATGATTGACTGAGTGTGGTCTTGGGTGAAAGCAGGACAATCTTTTTGACTATCAACAATCATTGTGTTTTGGTTTTCTCTCCAAAGGATCCACAATGATACAGAACAATGGTAATCCCTTACATCCATATTCCTACTTACAACTCAAATGAACATTAGTTTTCCTGCCATTACATTTTCTAACACCATTCTTTTCCTGCTTTCCTGTCTACTCCCATTTCATGCTGGATTATTATAGGGTTCCCGCCAAAGCTCCGAACACCTCAGAATACAATTTCTTTGTGTTTCAGGAAAACAGCCAAATTCAACTTTAATGCTTGTCAACCATTTCCTAAGCCAGATCGCCCGGTCACTTCTGAAAGAAAATATCATATGATAGAAAGCAGTTGCTATTGGAATGGTCGTAATTGGATTTATCTGCTGTTTTTTAAGTGAGATTCCTTGAAAAGGTTAAAGGCAGTTATTGTTTTATCATGTGGATATCTTTTTTGGTATGAAGTCTGACAATTTTGTTCCTGGCTAAAGCTAATGATTAGCCTGAGAGGGACCGAAACCAATCTCTTAAAAATCCCCAATCTCATAGTGACTTATGTTAAGCCTTCAATAACCCTAAATTGGTGTTGTATTGTAATAAACATAAACTTCTAATTATTTGCTCAAGAAATAGAGTCAGAAGGTGGTGCCCTATCAGTGTGTGTAAATGAGTGTGTAAAACAGGCACTAAAAAATTTATATTTAATTGTTTAAATAAGAGGAACTGTAGATAAAATACAGCAAAATGTGTATTTCAATTACTAGCGTTTACTGATACCGACATTTTTTTCCGACAGTCCCCTTGAGTGGTAATGTTTCACACAGGCAGATCCTTGGTGGAACGCCATCTACTGTCAAACTTTTCTTTGTAAATAAGTCTTATATTTAAGGTAAATTACCTTTACAATGCATATACAACAATGGTTTAAAGATAAATAAAATAACATTTGCGTAAACTGTTGCAAAACTTTTCAAACAGTTTTTTTTCCCTTTTTTTGGTAACGGCCCCACTCAGATTAGTCCTTGGCTTTAGCCTCAAGGAGCGAGTATTTGGCTAATAAATTATGAGTTATCTACCACATTTAAGATACTGACTGCCTGCAACATTTTTAAGAGTCTTCTACACAAATGCTAAATCTCTTAAGTGGAGCTTCCAAAGACGTTCTGAACCCAACGTAAAATCTTCCTGCCCTACTAAAGTTCTCTAAATTGAAGCCTAAAACCCCTGTCATCATATTATACTGTAACTGTATTTTAAGCAGGTACTGTGCGAGGGCGTGGTCGTGCTGCTGCAGGTAATCGTACCCCTGGACCTCGAGGGTCTTACCTAGGGGGTTATTCTGCCGGTCGTGGCATCTACAGTCGCTACCATGAGGGCAAGACCAAGCAGTCCGAAAAGCCCTATGAACTGATGTCCAGTCTGGAGCTTGCTGCCTCCGTCAACCCAGTTGGCATCAAACCAGGCACAAGTCAGTGAGACAGACGTTCTCATTCCTGTCCTCGCCCCTTTTCCAACCCTTTACCAAACCTCTTTCCTGTTTGGTTTAAAGAACCTTTCCCAAATCAGCATGATAGCCGTTACTGGATGGTCATGTATAAAAAATCTTGAACGATAACACATATCATCCACCCTTCTGAGCATGACCAGATAGTAGCTGCTTTACTTCAGTTCTCTTTCTATCCTTCATCAGAAAATTGTGTTGTGTGGTGTTCAGACCGATAACAGTGCTGTGCTAAGGGAAAACAATAGGATTCAATAGTCAGCAGTTGTTTTAATCATTTAGGGAATTCCATCAATGCAAATCAGTGATGCATTCATCGGTTTACTGGATCAGAAAGAATACCCTAATCAGGGCAATCACAACTAGCTTTTCAACTCAAGGTTTATTGAATTAGTTTTACCAAATGGCATCATAGCCAGTATTGAAACTAATATTTATTTTGTTATTAACTTTTTGAATAGCCTGTATTTTCCTCACAGCACTTTTATCTGTTTGAACAGGGTTGTACTCACTGAATATTCTTCCACAATTATAATCCATGCATTCACTCAGTTCCGATTTTGACTTTTTTTAAACCCAGAAGAATTGAAATGAATAAAACGGATGATTAAAAAAAAAAGCTTCACAAATTTGATCACTTTCCGATTTTTTTTTGTTTTGTTTTTTTGCTATTTCAATACTTAAAGTCAAAATGGAGCTGAAATGCAAAACTAATATTCAAATTAAAGGTTCCAACTAATCAACATAAAGACAATGCCAGTGTTTGGAAAAGTTGATCATCATTAATAATAAGCTCTGATCAAGATATGAATGGCATGCTAGCCAAGATGTGAAAAACTTGTTTGCACAGAGTTATTGTTTGTGGGAGAGTTTTTCTACTTTGTTTCCTGCTAGTAAGAAGAAGGAAGTGCAACGATGGTAAAGATCTGAAGAAATTCAACTCATAAAGGAACATAAAATCACAATGGAAAAAAAACAATAGCTCTGTTGGTCCACATTACAAAATATAGTTGCATAAAAAAATCAGACATTGTAGAATAATTTATTTTTGTTTGATTTAGTCCTGAGAAACAGCTTAACCAGGTTTCCAGTATATACAACCAGTCGGGCATTTGTCATACTTTTAGATATAACCACTTTTGTGAACTTAAGAATGTAAGCATTTTACTGCTCTTTAGTACAAGTGGAGTAAACATATTTATCCAGTAATCCGTTTAATAAACAACCAAAGCTAATCTGAAGGAGCCAGAGCTAAAGCCATGAAGGCAGCTTTTTGTTAAGTAGTGGGATAGTGGTTAATTATTGGTTTGCTGCATCAGTGTATTTAAACATGAAGGATGTTCACGGTATACTAATCTTTTCAATTTTGACTCTACATATTATAATTACCTTGCCTGCAATAACAAATTAGATCATGTGAGATTTGAGACTGTTTGTCTAAAACCAAAATAAAATAAATAAGTTAAAACAAGATATTTACACCACTGTTTAAAAATACTTTACTTTTTAATTTATGACTAAATTAGATATTTTTTCTCCTTGTATTTATGTCATTGAGGATTACAAAATGTATTATTTTTTTAATTTGCTAAAACATCACATGATATGATAATGAGATACTTTTTGTTTTATTATTTAAATCAGATGCTCCTATACAGTAAGAGCAGCTTATCTTTAGACATACAGTATTAGGAAAGCCCAGAGTAGCATGTCCTGGTTCATTGGCTTCACATCAGTGAGTTAAATGGAGGCTGACCAGGGGTTGCACGTATTTTAACCTACCTTTTTTTTTCTTCTGTGACATTTTGTGGTACTGGTGTGATTTACAAAATAGATATCATGACTTCAAGCAACATCTCAAAACAATAACCAGATTGTTAAAGTACGGGCAACACTGAACGTTAGGAGGACCAAATCAGTACAGAGTCACCTTATATGACTATACTTAAAAAAAGACAAAAATCCAGCTGCTCATGATAAAATAAGGCTATCTACTCCAAGCGTCTGTCCTGATAATGTGTTCTGATAGACCGTTAGAGCCTAAATAGAATCTCATCCCCGGGTGCGATAAGCTGACAAAAAATACATGACCCCATCTACTGGTAGTGCCTCTGAACTACCACAAAGCCAGATCGTGACCATTGTAGTAGCTAATAACTAAGACTTGACCAAGCAGACTGCCTCTTTAAAAAAAAAAAAAAAACAGCTCTGCTTGGTCATAGACCAACCCAACCGACTCCTATTTCAAGTTCAAGTGAGTCCTCCCTTGCCTGTTCTCTAGGAGTAGAAGTGCTGTTACAGGAACTTGGACTTCAGCGAAGTATAGTCGATTATTTACTTTACATATTAATAAAATCTCTTATACAGACTAGATTTGCAACACAAACATTCAAGGTAATTATCACAAATAACATGTGGTCCCTAAATAATACTAAATCTTCAGAATAAGGCGAAGGCTAATACTACCACTATGAGCAAAGACCTGTACTCATGTGGCTATAACCTTTGCAGTGACATCAGAATCCTTCCTGAGCTTTAGCTCCAGCTTTAGGGTACTCCAATGGTCATTCTGTATTCCCAGCACAGCTTGAGTTTTATCCCTCTTGGAATCAAACATCTTGCACCTTTTTACATTTGATCTTGGAGTTTTCTTTTGTTCACAACCATGTTGGGAGTTTCACACTTACTGCCTGCATTACTTTGGCTTGCTGAGTAATTTTACACATGCGTAGTGACATAATCCCAGTCCTATGAGGTTATATTACCGTAATTATACACAGAAAGGCTATATTTACAAGTTTTTTATTTTTACAAAAATTGAGCAAAAAAGAAGCTTAAAAGACAAAAAGAACAAATACTATACCAGCAAGACACCCACATTTATCATAAAAACGTTGTATGGAACCAAAGTGAGTTATTTGTGTTTATAAAAATGTAAAAAAAAAAATATAAAATATCGTCACTGACTATTGTCAGTGGCTTGAAAACAGTGAATATTCTGTTTTGGTGCTGACCTAAAGCCCTGATCTCCGTCTGGAGCTAAAAAGATGTGTGTGAGCAAGGTGGCACTCAAACATGATTCAGTTACAGCGGTTCTGTCAAGAGGAATAGGCCAAAATTATAGCAAACCAAAATAAAAAAGGTAAATGGGGTAAAGCATTAAAAAAATATATTCAATATTTACTACTTAAAAATTAAGAAAATCGATTATGTTAATCCTCGGTGACCTTAAACATAAATACCGGTAGTTTGGTCCAACTAAATTACAAAATGGGGGAGAAAAAAAAAGGATTATGGCTTTTTATAGAGTGTATTTTAACTTAAGTTTAAGCTGAATGTTATTTTAAAGGCAAAAATTAAATTACAGTGTTTTAACAAAAAAAGGTACATTCCTCAAAATTAAAGCTTTTATTCCACTTATAGTGCAGCAATATTACTGCTGCACATCATCATGTTTTTGCCAATTTTTTAAGAGGTGGACGTTGGTAATAATAGATTTGAAAGATTTTAACAGAGTTACTATAATTGTTTTAAGTGAGAGTCCAAACAATTATTAAGAGTTTTCTGCTGCTCCTAGTAAATTGTTGCCTTTCTTTTTGAATGGCACAAAGAAGAATTTTGAATAATGATCAGAAAAACAAACACTGGTACTATTTTTATGTTCTCCAAAACTAAGCTCTTTTCTCATTAGATTTTACTTTACTTATTGCTTTTAATGTCATGTATTTGACTAATGCATATCAGGTCTCTAAAGTAGACATAACTGAGTGAGATGTGAAGGTCAGCCCTTTAGCCTCTTTGGATGTGGACTTATAGAGTTAGCATCAGATTAAGTCTTTTTTGTATTTAAAAACAATGACTGATGTTGTGTTTTTAAAGAGGTGCAGGTATGTGTGTGGGCAGTAAGGGGCTTAATACATAGCTGAACCACGTCATAATCCAAATCACACCCTGATGGCAGTTTGTGTAACTTAATTTTCCCTCTTGCTTCACTCTTATCCTTCTCCCCCTCGTTTTCCCCTGTTTTCACGTTCTTCATATCCCCTGCCATTCTAAGCATGATTGCATGCATGGTTAAGCATGGGTAAATGTATGTGGCCTACTCTGTCGGGGCCAGGTCTGTTATCCAGGCTTTTATTTTTGCATTTCTTTGTGCACAGTGGCATTGCCAGGTCTGGGTGCCCAGTACCAAGTGTTCAGCGCTGCTCCTACAGCCAAAGTGATGGAGGAGGGAAAAGTGCACACAGTGGAGCATCTTATGAACCCTCTGACCATGCAGCACCCTGAACACAGCGCTCCCACTGCTGCTGCTGCCACCGTCCTGCCTGCAGTGTCCACTCCTCCACCCTTCCAGGTGCGTCTTATTTTATAGCATCCAAATTAATTAGTGTTACTGTTAAACTGCCTTTAAAACCCCCTCATCCCAAATACATAATGTAAAATTTCAAGACCTTTGAGTTTTTTTATCTTTTGTTTCAATTAAGGTTATAAAATTAAAGTCAAAACAATGATTTTTGATAATCTATTTATTTATGCACTTTTCCAAATCTAAATCAAATTTACCCTTTCAGGGCCGTCCAATCACTCCCGTCTATGCCATGCCCCACAACGTCCAGCGCATCCCAGCAGCCACCAGTCTATATGGAGGGTATGTTCCCATTGCCAACTACGCTGCCAACACAGCCGCTCTGGCCGCCCTGCAGAAAAATGCCGCCATGGCAGCCACGGCGTATGGAGGTTACGCCAGCTACGCTGTACCCCAAGCCTTTCCTGCTGCTGCCTTCCCACTGCCCATCCACGACATCTACCAGTCGTACTGATGTTTAGGCTCAGATCGAGTCATCTGGTGACTGAATCTCTACAGCGTTTGCCTGCAATTCAAAAAAACCATCACTTGAACTTGAGCTCTAATGGAATTCGTAGCAAATATGATGACTGCAGATAGGGACAGAATGGCGGCCTGGTATCTTCTATTAGTCCCTCTCATCCTCTGTATATCTTATGGCTAGAAAGGGGGCCAGCATCACATTTTTTCCCTCCCTGAAATATTTTAAACAAACCCAGCTTCCTCTGCAACAGTAACCAGTAATGTTCAGTCTTCTTGGTTTCCTCTGAACACTTTGTAGATGTTGCAGCAGGAACATCTATGGTACTTTTAAAGTATTTATGAAGAAAAAACACCTTATTCATGCTTTATTCCTTATCTCTCTCTTTATATTTTATCTTTTTCTTTTTTTTCATCTAGAAAAGATTTTCACATTTTATAAAACAAAGAAAAAAAGAATATGGAAAGAAGGAAAATGTAACCAGGAGCTACTGATAAGAGAGTACCACCGCCTTTGGGTGTAGTTATTTTTGAAGCTGTTTTTTTTTTTCTATTAATATTATAGTATTCTAGCCAATTTTACATGCTGTAGGTGATGCTGTCTGTCCATGCTGGTTGAATGTGCATTGCTTTAGATGTGCCCACTTGGTACTTTTTGGTGTAGTTGTTTTTGTGTGTTTTAGTTGTTTTAAGTGAAGATTTTAGTTTTTTTTTTTTTTAGTTCATCGATTCTTTTTATCCCTAGTTATGCTATTGTGAAACATGTGTCTTAATGCTGACACACTATAAAAACTGCTGGGTTAAAAAAATCTGAGAGGTGCATTGCTGACCAAGCTATGGTTTAGTTATACATAAACCAATCCAGGTAAAACATATACTGTAATGTTTCTACCAAACTGAGGATTTTTTTTTTTGTTTAGTTCCACATAAAATTAATTTAAAATGGTTAAAAAATTCAAGTGAATAAAAAAAGACAAAAGGTTTATCGTATATTATTAGAATCGTAGCAACAAATAATCTATTTTAGTCCTACTAATTGGGCACTATGAAATAAATGAAAAATATTATTTCAGTGCATCTTTGATTAAAATAAAAAAATGTATATAATGATTACATTTAAATATTTTTAATAAAACTATTAAGAAACATAACAGCAAAAGTAAAAAAAAAATTTTTTAGCCCGTTTATATTACCTTTGTAACCCATTCGTTGGTCAAAACAACAGTTAGCACTAACGTACGTACATAGCAGGCTATCAAATTTATCTGGAAATAAATACTCTTTTATTCTCATAATAGTTATTACCAAAACCCAACATAAATTTACTATCTAATTATTTATGTTTGACTTTGTGGAAGAGGTTTGGTGAAATCGGATTTATTTGTTTGATAGTTTAAAATGGTTTTCTTCAAACTGAGTCACATTTCTTGACCAGGGGCTGTTTGGCTGAAACTAGCACTGTCCCAAAAACAAAAAAAACAACAACAAAAAAACGCAACAATGTTTGGAGTAAATAAAATAACCCTGCAGTTTTTTTATGGTGTGTGAAGCTTTTAGAGATGAGAACCTGAAAAGCATGGAAATGAAGAGAAAACTGGAACACATGTGCCTTTAGATGTTCCTCATCATTATAAACTGTATCAATAGGGGACTAAGACTGAATAGATGTTGTTTTTCTTCATTTAAGTATATTTTATTGTTGTTTTTTTATGCTTGAATCTTAAAAGGTGAACAAATGTTTTTTTTTTTCTTAATTGCTTAACCAGTTCCCATTGTTGCCAACCAAATCCTAACACACTCCAGTCTGATGACTTCAGAGAGACTCTTTGCACTTGACTACAGTGCCTTACATCTCCGTACAAAACGTGCCTTTAGTATCAAAACAGGGCTGTAAAGCTGACACCAGAAGTAACAGACACACATTCTTTGCACGGTACCTGAGTCTTTTTTCTATTTGTATTTCTAGCGAACTGTATTTTTATTATTACGGTATCATAGTGAGGTGAGTGGATTGGAGTCTCTGGGGTCAGATGTCTGAATGCCTCTGCAGTAACACTCCTGTCTCCCTCTTTGTTTCTCCTCCTCCAAACCATGCTAGACCAAGGTGCACTTAAACATATTTATAACTGGCATGGTAAAGCCAGCATGAAATGAAGAGATATTAAATACAAAGCGTGAAGTCACGAGCGGACACGACTACTTTGGTTATTTGTTTTCCAGTGTTTTTATTAATGTGTGAGTTTTACTTTGCCGACACAAAAGAAGCCTTTGAGATCTGTATTTGGGCACTTGTAAAACTTCAAGGTCTATTTGCAAGAAGTACAAAACTGGAGCAATACCTCACTCTTAAATATGCAAGTAGGCATGCAATGTGCTGGTTGTAGTCAAACTTCTAAACTACGATAAGCAGCTGCTACTCAGAAAGTCACTCCCAGTGACATTACATGAACAGCAGAGAAAATAAGTACTGAACATGTTAAAACTGTGTCAGCAGGTACGACCCATGTAACCAACAATTAAATAAGACTTCAAACAAGTTTAGTAATGTAAACTACAACGAAACGCCTCTGGGAATAAATATTGTACAATCCTTGTAGAGATTACTCCTCACTTAGATATGTCTTTTTTTGGCTTTGTTAGTTTCCATTGCCATTCCTTGTGCAACCGTTCCTAATTTCGTTTGACCAGGCTAAATTAATATTATATTACTGAATTTGCTAAATCATTAAATTTAAGAAGCTGTCTTTGATTTATTTTTTATATATTCTTATTATTTGTTTGTGTCAAAAATCATACAAGCAGCAGATGTAGAACATAATTCCTGAATTAAGGCCCCAACAGTGCTCTCTGGACACTGTAGAGATTTAGCAACATGTCTGCTACCAATGCCATCAGTATTTTTGGTAGCAGTAACGCTCCAGAGCTTTTGGAGGAGTGTTTTGTGCTTACCCATCATGAAATGCTTCTTTTGGCATTATCTTCTTAAGAGAAACCTTTTAAGACAACAATCGGGCAAACCACCCATCGCCATTTTTTCAACAATAAAGAGCAATGTTGCTTTAAAATTACTTACTGATTACCACTGTTTTCTTGGCTAGCTATATAATTTTTTATCTTTATTTAAATTATATCACAGTAGTCGCCATTCAAAATTTCTTCACTTTCCTTATTAATAAATATTCAGAAATATTCTTTCTGTCATGATTTGTGGACAATAAAATCTAAAGAGAAACATTATGTTCTAGTAGGACCCTATAATTCAGTAAAAGGGTGGAGTCAGAGTAAGAAAAAGAAAAATGCACGCCCATGAGACAGCCAGTGGCTGGAAGCTGGAGGGGATTTTGCTGCCATTCGGCTGGCTTTTGACTGGGAAGGGCCATTTTGAACTGTAATATGTTCAATATTAATTCCCCTAGAATCAGTCTGCTGTCTTTGCACAACTTGGGTTGCTTACGGTTAATGTTGTGAATTTGTATTAAAAGGCCAGCTGAAATTATTTTGACATGTTCAATTCTTATTTTCCCAACTGTATATCAAGTTGTTTTTTTTTAATACAGGCTTATATATTTGGTCCAGTATCAATTCCTTTTTTTTTTCTTTTGCAATTTTCCATTTGGAATATTCTTTTTTTTTTATCACTTTCTCACATTTTGATAACCAGCCACAAAACCTGAATATGGATTTTTATAGCATTGGTGAAATAATTTATTTGCTCAAAGAGTTATAATAAAAAAAGGACCCACATTGTTATGAGCTTTTAAACTCACTTCATGTTGTCCTTTTTTTTGCTACAAGTGAACTGGACTACGCGTAGAGAACTAACTGCTGTTAACTGCTTTAATGATGAAGACAGAAAGTCTGGATATATATTTAATATATGCATTACATTTGTTATGTATGAAGTAAAAAGAAAAGGTATAATATATTAAAAAAACATATTTCTTTACTTATTTACAACTTGAGTAGGGATAAGTCAGAGTAACAATAGTAGAAGAAATATTTTTTTCTCTGTCTTTGTATTACTTTTTTGCCAAAATAAGTAGTAGTGTTTGCTTTTAACATTTATTGTATCTTTCTAATCTGTAACAAAACGTACTTGGTGTTATGAGTGGGAACACAAAGAACCTTGAAGTTCAGCTACATTTTAGCAGTCTCAGCAAGGATTAAAAGCTGGCTCGTGAAAGTGTTATAGCCCTGGCACTTTGAGGCTGGTCATGTTGCAACTGTGCATGTGAGCCTTGTCCTGAGAGTCCAACAATGATTTAACTGCATTTGGAATTCACGAAAAGACAAAAAACTAAATAAATACATAAATAAATAAAGTGTCAGTGGAGGGCAGCCGACCTTAACATAGGTGTAACCTTTTAACTCCTTCTAGTGTGCCTTATTGCAAAAATGTCTTTGTTAAAGCTTTGTAGACTCATGCAGACTATTTTTCTATCTAGAAGTTTGTTAAAAAGAACTAAGACCTTGTTCTGCATTGTTATATTTATAGAGATAAACAACAAATAAAGTGTTTTTGAAAGAATTCGGGGTCTTTGACAATTATTTTGATTGTGTGCCGTACTTCTCTGTGCCTTGTGCTCGCAAAGTAAAATATCTCCCAGCTGCCTTGGTTTTAAATTAGACAGAAGAAAAGCAAAGCGTGCAATCGGAGAGTCCAAGTCTCCGGAAAGCTTAGGAGCTAGTAACCCATCTCTGACCTCATATATCAGCGATTGTTGAGAAATGTCATGGCCAAGTGGGGAAAAAAACACGAGGTTTGGATAATGTTTCATAAACTCAAGTGCGGCATGTTAACTTTACTCCAGTTACATGTTCTTTACCAGTGAGAGTTTGTGGGAGGATCTGAGTCTATGGTGTGGGACAATGGCATGGGAAGTTCAAGGAGTTCATATTTCTGCACCGTCTTCGCATGTCAAACCAACCAACCTTTTTTGTTCATGATCCATCCGTCCGTCCGTCCATCACCTCACTCACTCACCATAAAGACAGTCTCCAGCTAATTTACTTTGATTCACAAGGTATCTAATTTTTAAAGTAAAGCACACAC